GTTGGTTTGCTTTTTGTGGATAACTGTTGATCAAATTTTACGATTTTAATGGTATCATACTATATTACTGACATTTAACAAAAAAAAAAACGAAAAAATGCTGCTTACAAAATTTGCTAACACATTTTGAAAAAGACAGTATTTTTATTATCTAAATTAAAATGACGAAAGAATTGCTGAATTTATAGGAAAAAAGTCATGAGCCTTTTAATTTGGATTTTAAATTTTTTTATTAAACAACACTAATTTCAAAAAGATCAAATGAAACGTAGCAAAATCTCACGGTTTTTATGTAAAGTAAGGCAAAATGTGCAACTAGCCTACCTTATTCTACTCGTTTTAAAACTAAAAATTGTGGTGTTACAAGTATTTTTATTTGTTTTGTTTTTTATCTTTTGTAGATTAAAAGAAAATTCAAATGGTAAATAAAAGTGTTCTTGGTATTTTTTCATAAAATAAGTCATATTTCAATCATTTAAATTGAAAAAATAAAAGCTGTCACTAACCAAAGTGCGCCGCAGTTCTCCAAGTCGCCGCTAGGCGTCACTAGCCAAAGTGTGCCGTAGTTTATCTAGTCACCGCTAGATGTCACTCAAACACAAAACATTGAAGTGTATTTATTTATTAGTAATATTAAATTATTCGAGCAAAATAAACCAATTACTGTTTTATTTTTAAAAACCTTATTAGTTATCGATAAAAACTAAAGGACAATTTTGCGATTGTAAGCCGGGGTAGTTTACTATGAGTCCTCTGTATCCGTTGACACTCGCAGGGAGTTTTGAGTAGCTAGTACATGACTACCGCGCTTAACCAGGTTTTTAACATGAAGTGTAAGGATGTGTCATATAAGATCACATTCTTTGAAAAGCCGAGAGTCGAGTCTCTAATATGAGACAGATGATTGGCTTATTATCAATCTATCTATATCTATAAAAGAGGAGCTATGTATGTATGTGTGTGTATATATATATATATATATAATATATACGTTATGGACACCGAAACCGCTTTGACAGAATTGACACTATAGACAGATTGTAATGAAACTTTCAGGCATTATTTCAAGGATGGTTTGGTGCAGATTCGTCAAAAGGGCTCCGCCATATAGGGTTTTAAGTGGACCAATGTCAGACTTTTTGAACTACAATGTTTACAAATAAATATATTTTGAAAGCAGTTGTTTACTTTCACCAACTGTTATGTAGGTTTGAATAGGGAAACGGACTTTCGGCCTGCGCTGCCCCTGACTCGGCCTTTGCTGCCCCTATTGTGTGTTGTGGAGGGTAGGTTTCGAGGGAGCAGGTACCTGACCTCAGCTTGCACTTTACCCCTTAAATCCCAGGAATCTCCCAGAAATACTCGTGGGGTAGTAGTCATGCAGGGTCGTAAATTTCAGGACTTACACTTATCCGTCAATTTCGAAGGGTTTCACCTAGTCATCAATATTTCTCATTACCACATTATTTTTATCTCAAACATAAATACATACAGTAAATACTAAGCTACTCTATTCTTAAGAATTTTGCATTATTAAAATTTCTTATTCGAAGAGTTATGTTTGATAAGGGTTTAAATAACCATTCGGGGTTTAAAAAAATATTAGCATTTTTTTAAATCATATTGATAAATATTTATGTCTTCTGAACTTAAGCTAGTAATTTTAATAGTATGGTATCGATTTCAGAGATGAATATAATTTTATTGTATTTAGCTAATGATTACATTTTAATGCACAACAAACATTTTATAGTTGAAAAAGGTTAACCTGTTTTTTATAAGAATTTTGTATCTATAATAGAAAACCATTTGAAGTCAGAAAAGGTGCTTTATAACATAAGGAAAATATCGATTAAAATTAGTTCAGTAATTTAGTCATTATTTTAAAAAATGTTCACACCAAATGTTTGATAGAGTATAAAATATTATTTTAACACTGTGTGTATCCGAATTTCGGGATGATATTTGGTTAAAAGTTTTATTTATTACTTTGTTGTACTTTCCAATAGTTTGATGGCCGTGACAAAATGATAAATCAATTTCACTCTTTCACTCACGCTACTTTGAATAAACGCCACTAGGTGTCACCAGCATGGTTCGCAACAGTTCACCTATTCACCGCTAGATGCCACGGAAACCAGTGTGAGCTGCAGTTCGCCTATTTACCGCTAGATGTCGCTAAAACAGAGTTCTACATGAATTATAGTTTATTCATTCATTATTGATATAATATTTATAAGCTACAATAAAAACACTCAGCTTTAGTTACAAAAAATATTACTAGTTTTAAACTAAAGTGCAGTTTTGCGAATTAAAGCCTGGATAGTTTACTATAATCCCTCTGTATCTGTTGGTACTCGCAGTGATTTTTGAGTAGCGATCTGACTACACCACTTGACCGTAGCATACTGATTATTACTTATATTACAACAAATAACATTATACAAAACTCTTTGAAAAGCCGAGAATCGGGTCTGTTACCTGATGATTGGCTTATAATATTCATCCTATATAGAATCCTATATTTCATTCTATATAGAAATTTACTCTCCGAGATTGAGATTAGTAAATGGAGAATTTATCTATGTTCTCTTCACTAGTGCAGGGTGAACAATACAATCAACAATTATTAATGAATAGTGAATTTCCCTATAAGAGAGTAGTTACCGAAGGTGGCACGGTAACAAGGGGCCGATTTAAGTTTTCTTCATTTTGATGTCCTTAGAGGCCAAAAACATTTTTAGTTGCTGCTTAGTTACTAGTCCAAATTAGCTGTTGGTAAATCTTATAACTTTTGAATGCTTTTGCATATCATGGAACCAACTTTTTAGTTGAAACAACTGACTAAATTCTTTAATTCCCTTTAAATATGAATACTTATAAGGTTAACATGGGGAACTACAGAGCCACTGGCGCACTGGGGTGGAGCCCGAAAGGAATTTTGAGATAAGAATATGCCTATGTTAATCGGAATGTGAGCTATCGTTATGCCAAATTTCAGCCAAATCCATCCAGTGGTTTATGCGTGATTGAACTTCAAACATGCAAACACACAAACTTTCACGCTTTCACATTTATAATATTAGTAAGATATCCATAATATTGAAATGCCATGCGTAGCTTTGTTACTGACCAAGATCAGCTGTTTTGTCAATGATCAGGAACAGCTGGGTCCGATTTCAAACCACAAAAAAGCTACTGACTTTTCATAGGATCAAACCGGTATTTTTAGATTGTTAGGCAAGGACTGTAACATGTATAACAAATAAAAACTACAAAATTTACTTTTTGGACTAATTGCTATATATTTATTTTGTAAAACATTTACATCATACTGATTATCAAATTTTAAAATGTTCAAAGAATCTGATTTGAAAAATAATGATGTACGCCTCTTATCTCAGTTTCAAAAAGTATCTAACAAAATAACAAGATCATTCTTAAATCAAACTCTTTCATAACGTCAACTAAAATACCTACACAATATTTATCGACTTGTAAAATGTAACAATATACACTAAACAAACATTATGTAAAATAGCATGTTTCGGTGGTTTAAATGTATATGTTTTCTAAGAAATTTAAAAATGTGAATTAAAATAACAAGGAATGTCACGTACATAAAGGTTCGCAACAGTTCGCCTCTTCACCACTAGATGCCGCTTAAACCAGTGTGCGCTGCAGTTCGCCTATTTACCGCTAGATGTCTCTAAAACAGGTTTCTACATCGATGATAGTTTATTTATCCATATATAATATAACATTATTAAGCTACAATAAATAAACTTAGCTTTGGTTACGAAAAACAACTATTTATAAATTAAACAACAATTTTGCGATTTTAAAGTCGCTGTATTTTGCTATGAGTTCTCTATATCCACCGACACTCGCAGGGATTTATGAGTAGTTGGCACATAACTACCGCGCTTAACTAAGGCTTTGTATTGTGAAACCAAGTGTTTGTCCTCAAATATTCAGTGATTGAAAAGCCGAGAATCGTGTTTCTGTTATAGGTGGAGACCGATGATTGGCTTATAATAAATAACATAATGAGTTAAGTTGGGTGTGTGTGACCGTGACCGTCGGTGTAATAGTGACTAGCTAACGTCTAATTTTCCTGGTCCGGAACCGTGGAGAACCTTTTCTGCGAAGAAGTGGGAGAGCAGAGGCCTCACGTCAATTTAAGAAAAACTTTAAATTTATGTTTGTATACCTTTTTAGTTATAAAACTAACTTGTTAGTTATAAAATCAATTTTTTAAATATAAAATTAAACTGTCACAGCCAAACCAAACCTGCTGATAATATAAAAAAAGATATATGATAACAATCGAATGAAGGTTTACTAATAAAAAAATAGTTCTGTTCATAAATAAAATTATAAATGCCTCAAATTCTAACAAAAGATGTGCAGTTAAGAAGTATTCGCTAAAAGTGTACCCAGTGGGATTCGATCTGGAGACCTTAAGCCATGGGAAAAAAATTGAAAATGAGGTGCTATAGTCAGTCAGTAGTCACCAACATTTACTTTAAATCTTCACCAGTCAAGCACCGGTCACACTAGGCTGTACGCCAGCCGATGGTGATCAGCAGCTGGCACCAGTATCACCGGCTCACCAATCCAGGCTGTGTCAGCTGCGAATTTTGTGGTCACATTAAGCTGACAGTCGCGGCTTCTTTCAATTCGCTGCTGATGCCAGCCTAGTGTGACCCGTGCTTTAGTGGGTGTAGTGTACAGTAGCAGTAACTTGGCACGTTCTGTTCAGGTGGCTGGCTTGCTTCCTTGCTTGTGTGTGGTGCCTGGTGCCGGTCCGGTGGTGTGGTGCGTGGTGGAGTGAAAGACTGAAGAGTGTCACTTGTCACTCACACTCACTCAGTCAGTGCAGTGTGAGAGTAGAGTGCAGTGAAGTAGAAGCGTTGAAGTAAATATTTGAATTTTGAAATCTGACTTGGACTGGAGTTTTAGTTGTGGTCTGTCTCTGTCTGCTGTGCTGACTGCTGAGTTGGTTTGGTGGTTTTTGTTTTTGGAGGAAACTTGTTGGATTTGGAGTTGGTCAGTTGGAGTGTTGGAGAGGTGAGAAGAAGTGAGAACGAGAACCGAGATCCGAGAAGAGAAGAGCAAGAGAAAGAACACTGAGAACGAGAACGAGAACGAGAACAGCAACACTCAACAGACTAAAACAGAACAGACATTAAACAACGAACAAGGCCGCCAACCATATTTCCAGTTTTGAGGTTAGTTTATGCTTTGATTGATTTACTGTAGGCTACTTTACTTTAAATTTGTCAAACGCCATGTACGCAAATCAAAATAGTGTGTCGTGTGCAACATTTGTCTAAGCGATAGCAAACGGTAATAGGTAATATTTTGCACTACTGGGCCTAGTGCCATTCATAACAAATAGGCATAAAGTCATAACTTAGGCCTACTTCATTGTTTTGCTAGTATTTTACAGAAGCCTACTTGGATAGCCTACTTGTCTTCTTTATCTTTGACCGTGTTAAGGATAGATAGCATCAAATTTTTAATACTATAGGCCTACAATAAAAAAGGCCTAGGTCTAGAATAAAATTGAAAAGGACCTGAACTCTTTCTTTACCATTACTTTTTACTACAGTAACTTAGTTCTTAGGCCTGTACTATCGTGATCGTGTTCGGTTGTAATTGTTATAAACTAAACCCATCCCTGTATAAAGTAAATTTAAAGATTTTAAATATCCTTCTAGGTAAGTAAGTTAGGTATCTACTTAACTGACCTAGGAAGGACCAAGATTTTACTATCTTCCCTTTCAAGCTTGACAACATTTATTAATTAAATATAATTTAGGCCTTGTAACCCTTACTAACAAAACATCCTTTCCAAGGTTAGAGAACAACACTCTTGGCACTCAAAATGAAGAAAGACAAGTATTTTCTTTTTTGTTATTGTGTCAATTCCCTAACCTAAAAACTGGCTCCAATATTAATTGAATGTAAACATTAACTTGTTTTAAGCAGTGGCGTAACTAGAACATGGCTTTGGGGGGTGGGATGGAGGAGCCCCGGTCAAAAGGGGGGTTCGAGGGGAAAATTTTGAAAAATTCAAACTCAAAACTCGCTTTTTCAGGCATTCCAGAGGTGTAAAGAACGTTCAAAAGAACTCCAAAAATCTACCCAGTTGAGGCTGTCTCTGGCCGGTCAGTATCAGGAAATAGTAGCCTAACTTAAATAAATCAAAACCACTTAACACAACAAACAAACAAATTATCATTAAGTTGTTGTTGTGCTGTAGCCTTCTGTGCTGCGCGTGAGGAGCCGTATCTACTGAATTTTTATTTCAAATGGATTTTGACAGGCTGAAAACTTAATGTATTATTGATCAGTAGACCTACAGTGGGTTGAGACATTTGTTGAGACACTTAAAACAATCAACAATGAAGATTGACAGTCAAAACCAATATTGTGAGAAAGCCCTTAATTTCTTGTTATTTGTGTAGGCCTATGTCAGCTGTAAAGAGGATTTAAATGTAAAATAATATCCTTAGGCTATTGTTAAAACTTGATATTAATATAGTTGTGAAATTTGTGTAGGTAGCCTAAACTTACATATAGTTTGAGTAAAATAACTTAGTTGGGAAATTCAGTGTCTCCTCCCAAATATTTTTTTCGTGCGATGCCCCTGACTGTAGGTAAAATTATCGGGTGGAAAGAGTGGCCCTCCCCTGGCACCAGATACCCCTCCCCCACCCGCCCCTACACCACGCGTCGTCGCAAATTAAGCAAGGCAGAATGTTATTGTTTGTTATCAGGAACTGTCATCACTTTCAGTATGCTCAGTTTTAGTTACCATACGCTTTCTAAACAAATCTTTTATTAAGCTTTGCTATGCTGATGCTTTCCTCTTAGACATTGTGAACACATCATCACTGAATAACAAGTAACACACAGAACACAGGCGACAAGCACAGGGAAACGCGCCAGACCCAGAACAGACTGAGCGGGAACTTACAGCGCATGAGCGGCAGTGTTGCCAACCTAATATGATGACTTCCCACGTAATTGTCACTGGAAATCCCCGATTTTATTCGCAAAGATTATGAAACTACCCGCAACAATTCCTGATCCACCCTCTGTGAACAATGTTCATTATGGTGTACTGAAGTAGGTTATTCAGTTTTTTTTGCCTTTGGGGGGGGGGGGGGTTCTATCCCCCTCATCCCCCTCCCCCGTAGTTACGCCACTGGTTTTAAGATTACCTATTTAAATAGAACGGTTAACCTTAACCATAGCAGTTTCTTAACTGTGCTACGCTAATATTGATTGATTGAAACTTACATAACTTATTACATAGGGTAAACTGGATTAGTGTATGACAGTTATAATTGTTTCAATATTTATAAGGTTTACAACCTGTTTATACTGTTTATACCTGTTGTAGGTTTATACTGTGCTATTTGAAATGGTCCAGCTGATATTTTTGTTTTAGGTGAGCAGTCCTAAGTTACATTAGGACTCAAAAATGGCATCTGGCAAAACTCAAGTTTCGATGGAGTGGAAGAAAAGGGTGAGGCTTGAATATAAACGGATTAGACAAATAAAACGGCACAAATGGGCAGATGAAGTGAAGGTCGCCTGGAATAACAATGCTGCTAAAATGGAAGGTAATTAAAATTTGGCTACCTTAAATATTTTGAGTAAATTTATCAGGCACAAAATTAATTAGGGCCTACTAACATATTTTTCAAACAGCAGTCTTGAATACTGGTATATACTATGTAATTATCTGGCAAGTCAACCTAACCTGACCGTACTGCAGATCTCCTGGTGGCTGAGCAAGAGCGATGGCTGAACAGTAAAGCAGTCTGGATGTGCCAGGCGGAATTGCCGCCTCGTTCATCCTGCATGAAGAAAGCGGACGTGTCTTGCTCTGACAGCAATGCCAAATCTGTACCTATTGTCGTGATGAATGCTGTTGCTCAGATACCCACTATGTATACCTGGGCCCCCATTCAGCAAAACTTTATGGTGAGTAGAAACTTTGACTATAGAAGACTAGGCTGAAGTTATCATCCCATCTAGATGTTGCAGTGGTACTATAGCCATTTCTAGAATTAAAAAAAACAGAGTCAGGTTAAGTTGAGTGGTTATAGGGCTCATCTAGCAACAATGGGATAGTCAGTTTGACTGTGGGAAAACCAAGAACCTTTTTGATTGCAATTGGACACAGCTGTGTTTGATCATTGGGTTTATAAATTACCAATTAAGTTATCAACTGAGATGGGACACCTAAGTGTCCTAGTGTGTATTTTAACCCAAATATGAGTGAAGGATGAGTGTGCTTTGTTATTGTCTAGGATCAGCTGTTTAATTAGCAAGGATAATTTGTTTTGAACCATCAAAAGCTAACTGACTACTCATGATCAAACCGGCGACCTTTTGATTACCAGGCTAGCACTGTAAGCATAAGTGGTCCTAGCTAATGAAACAACTGGGTTTAGTCAGTAACGTAACTACAAAAGGCGCTTCATTCTTTGCTTATTTTTCTTCGAGGATAAAATACATCATCGTGTCCCAGCCTCAATATAATATTTATTGATTCATCAACCAAGGACGCTGCTGTTCACTTGTACTTTAATTTTATAGTAAAAAAACTTTCTATGAAACTGGAAGACTAGTAAGTGGTGGTTCAAAGAAATGGTACATAGCAATTATTTTATAGCTAAAATAGACAATTAGTTAAGAATTCGGACTTGACCAACTTATTTGTTTCCTACAGGTCGAGGACGAAACGGTTCTCCACAACATCCCGTACATGGGGGACGAGATCCTTGACCAAGATAAGACCTTTATTGACGAGTTGATCAAGAATTACGACGGTAAGGTGCACGGGGAACAAGAGGGTAACATCGACGACACACTGTTTGTGGAATTGGTAGACGCTTTGGTTCCATATCATATCAAAGACCAGGTGAGTGAATATACAATACTTCTAAGTCTAAGTTACCGGTACTTAATATTTTTACTAAAACTTTTTGATTCGGGAAAAATTAATCAATTATCTCTCTTTGGTTTTTTAAAGTGTATCAATTAGTTTTGTGAATTTTCTTCAGGCTTTAGTTAAACTTTCCGTACCTGATGTAATCTAACTAGTGGTTAAGATCACCTAAAGAAATAAAGTTAATAGATTTTAAGTGAGAACATATTTAACACACAACCACAACAACACACAACCACAACAACACACTCCACACAACCAGCATCAGTGTCTGAAATCTCAAAACATTTCTTTTGACAATTAAAACCCCATCACATTCATGTATTTCTACAAAAATAGGCCTATACCTATATTCAAATTCTCTAGAGTAGACCTTCTATGTTACTTTTTTTGTTTCCAAACTTGAGTTCTGATTTTTTGCTTAGGAAGAAGCTGAGGCAGCGGCCAAGGAAAAGACGAACACTACTCCATCTACAACTCCTCAGAAAAGTGCAAACAAAACAAATGAAAAACAATTCCCTGCCCAGATAGTTTTTCAGGCTGTATCGGCTATGTTTCCTGACAAGGGTAGTCCTGAAGAATGCAGAGAAAAGTAAGTTATGTATTTTTTTAAAGACTGACAAAAAAAAATTATAAACAGTTTTATTAATCTATAAAATCAAATTCTATATTGTAGTAATATACAAAATGTTTTACCTTTAATGATACTGAACAAAACAGGTGGCATAAGCCCACCTGTATTTCTCCAATAATAAATGTTTTACTAAATTAGTTTACATCATACTGTTTGCAGAATCGTCCAAAAAATCATCGTTTTCGGATAGCTTCAAATAGGGAACAGAAAAAGTATATGGGTAAATTTTTCGGTTCGCTAACCTCAAAATATTATTAGGCCTAAGTATATTATGGAAACGATGTTTTAAGTTATGTTTGTAAACAACAAAAATCAATTGATGATGACTTTGTATAACCTCAAATTATTATCTGGTCTAATTTTATAAAGATTAGAAGGTTATTTCCTCTGTATGATGAAAATAGTTGTTCATCACCAGAGTGTCTTTTTGGTACTTAATCAAAATGTTACCAAAAACCAAAATTCCAAATGTTATTTACCAAAAAGAGCCACTTTCGCTTTGAGAGGTAGTGATGAAAACTACTATTATGTCTCCTTTCAATTAATTTGCCTTAACTTTTTTTATCATAGTACCTTTCTGAAGCCTTCTTACACTATCCAACCATAGTCGATAATCCATAAAATTTGCTGATTCCTAATTGTGTTGTTGGATACGTCAGCTCCTCTCTCAAAAAGTCAACCAAACGGTTATCACTTACTCCTGTCAGCTGGAGAAGGAATTTTAAATTGATCTCACCATTTTTACTTGAGAATTGTTAATAGCAACAATGTATTAATGATGTTTTGTCCGTCCCAGGTATCGTGAGTTGACTGCGCCAAATGCACTGCCAGCCGAGTGTACACCGAACATCGACGGACCCAAGGCAGAGTCAGTCCCTCGCGCTCAAACCATGCACTCGTACCACACACTGTTTTGTCGTCGGTGCTTTAAATACGACTGTTTTCTGCATAGTGAGTTATTCTTGTCGAGGTTTACGTTTGTAATTAGGTTTTTATTGGGGGAGGGTAATTTATTTAAGTACGCTTTTTGCTTATTTTTTTACAACCTTCTGTAACTCCCAGGTTATTACTAATCTGGTGTTTAAATTTTCTAAGTTAGTAGTTTAAGTTTATTTGCTTGGCACGATTGTTATTTTACATCATGTAAGTTGATTTGGCCTTGAGTATCAAGTATGAAGGAGTTTGCCCTTCCTTCTTCATGAATTGGTTTTCTCAAGGATGAGACTGTAAATTAGTCTTATTTTAATCAGAAATGTGTTAACTTATTTACAAACAGATTGAAGCGCTCAATTATCAACCAACAAAACAGTTAACTAACCTAACCTGAGTATTCTAAACTAATTATTTTGTACTTGTCTAGGACTAAAAGTACATCATCCTGGACCCAACTTGACCAAACGCAAGGGACCAGATTTGAAAAACTTCTCCGAATCTTGCGGCTCTGACTGTTATATGCTTTTGGTGAGTTTTATCTAAAAAAAGAAAACATTCAACATACTATTTTTAACGTCTAAGTCTTTGGGAGACAAATTTATCATTATCTGGAAAAAATACTGGGTCCAAGTTTTGCCATTTTGAAGCAATCTTCTCTCAGCAAGTGAAACGATTTGAGTTTCATATAGCAAACATCTCAAGGTGTAGGTCCATCAATTCATGTAGGCCTAAATAATTAAACAATTAAAGAACTAAAACTAACGTGGAGGATGAGTATAAAGCACAAGAGCCTAGGTTTTAGCGATTTCCCATATAATGGAATAAGCTAATTACCGTAAGACTGATTTGCTTTTACGTTTTCATGTCCCCAGAGGCCAAAAACACCATCCGTTCAAATCCATATAACCAACAAGGTTAAGGGTATATTTTATTTTAGTGAAAATCCAACCAGATAAATGGATGCTTAGTTTGCAGGTTTGCTGCAGTGGGGGTGTTCAGTAAGCATTTTAGTGAAGATAGCAGGCTTACGTAGTTTGGAAAGAGTCCAAACTGGTGTCACAATAAATTCCAAACTTTACACCACCTAACTAGGCCTACCTGTTGTATTTTATTACTGGATGGTATAATAAATCTCTTGAATCTCTACTTCACTGTCGCTGACAGCATTTGCAACTAAGAAAGAGAGAGTTGTCTTCACATCTGATGGCAGCCAGGAAGTTGTAATTTTCTGTATCAATTCCAATTCGTCTTAGATAGTAGGCTTAGGCAACATATGTTTGAAGTTTAAATTATTTGTAGGAAGGGATGCAGGAAAAGTTGGCAGCTGCTGCGAAAACAGCTGCGGCCACAGAACAGGCAAAAGAGGACATGGAAGAGCAGAACGGAGTGAAAGGAGAGAACTCTGGAGTGAGGAAAGTGAGGAAACAAACATCTGTAGACTCTGGCAATGAGGCTAGCTCAGAAGACAGTAACGACAGTAAAGGTAGGCTTTCTCCCCCGACACAATTAATGTAAGATAACATGTGAAATAGTGATGATCAAGAAATGACTCAAACCGTTTCTTCGTGCTTCTAAAACTATTCTATACTGCTAGTTTGATTCTTTTACTGTGCAATTCTCGTTTAAAACTATACAGTACAACCTTTTATGGCTTTTATTTTATCATTGGATAGTTCTATACTGTTTGAGTTCCAAATGGCCATTTAAATATCTTAACATTCCTGAACTATGAAAGAGTATTGCTTTTTGAATTTTAATCCTTAAAGTTAAACAAACAAACAAAATTAAGTTATATGCCATTTTAGACTCAATTTTATTTTACTGTGACTGATATAAATTATGAAGTTTTGTAATAGTAGAGCAACGTTGTCCAGCTAGATTCAATCAGCCACATCTAATACATTTTTATACTATCGACATAAAATCGTTAAATTTTCTCCCATATCCCATAGAATCAGTAAACATCTTCCATGATGACGGCAAAATCCTGAACATCTTTCACGGTTACAATGAAATCAAGAACGTTTTCTGCAGTCATGGAAGAATCAACATCTTCCACCTTAACGACAAAATTGTAGACATCTCCCGCAGTCACATTATCAAATTTACAGGTTTTTGCCTTATCGTAAAATTGATAATATCAATGTTACCCAAAATCGTTGGGAAATCTTGAACATCACCCACGGTGGAGGTGAAGCCGTCAGTATTCAATCACACATATTTGTTGATGCTTTCTACGGTCGGGAAGATAAAAATATAAAACTATTATTGTCGGCAGGAATTGATTCTTCAAAGTATTTGAGATCCGCGGACCACTGATTTGTTAAAGTGTAAATAAATTTGGGAAAAATTGTTACGATCTCAGGTGTTGCCCTAATGTAACAATCTAATAAAATAACACATTGTTATAGAAGGAGACAAGGAAGACGGTGAAGGTGAAGGGGAGGGAGAGGCCAGTGGAGGGGAGGTTGTGTCTCACCAGGCTGGGTTCTCTCTGCTGCCGCTCATGCCCTCTAGTGATCAGAAGGAGTGGACAGGCAGCGACCAGAGTCTGTTTCGAGCTCTGCATAACGTGTTTCTCAACAACTACTGCGCCATCGCTCAGATCATGCTTACCAAAACCTGTCAACAGGTCAGTAAATTAGATAAACAGAAATTCTCCATTTAAAAAATGAAGGGTTTGGGAATTTTGTTGGATGCAGTAACCTATTTATTTTCCTACCTAAACTGTGAATTGGTCAGATAGCTGAGGAAATAATAAAAGAAATTTTAAACTGTTTCATTGTTACCGGTTACCGCTATAATTTTCCACATCGAAACCATTGTCCCAAATAACATAAATGATAACGGAAAGAGTAAAATTGTGACTTTAAAAAAATAAAATCAAGCAAAACTTATCCTCTCAGGCCAGAGGTCTTTTGGCATTATAACTAAGACTTCAGGTATGAGAGTTATACAAGGAGTTCAACGGCAATTGTGCACAATAAAACAAAAATTAAAAAGTTAACTTGATACTCAACCATCAGCAGAAAGTGCCTGAGATACGAAGATGTATGATGTAACTGAAGATCAGATAGTAGGAACTGTACTAAAATATTTTTCTCATAGTTTCCAAAACATTTTTCTTACCTCTTTCATAATTAATTAACAAACTATTATCATATAAGCTGTTACATAATGTCTAGATGGGTTGCATTTGGTTCATCACAAATGCTGAACAACGTTTACAAGCAGTAGGCTAAGGTTTTGGCCTTTGTGCCATCTAGTTTGTCTATGTAGCAAAACAAAAATATGCTGAGCATACACTGTTTTTCATTAACTTTAACTACACAATATGTTGTAAAACACACTTTTACCTCTAATATCACACGTGTTTCCAGGTGTATCAGTTTGCGCAAAAAGAGGCGGCTGATCTAGAGATCATGGAGTCGATGAAAGACTACACACCGCCGAGGAAGAAGAAGAAGAAGCACCGTCTGTGGTCGATGCACTGTCGCAAGATCCAGCTGAAGAAGGAAAACAGCAGCAATCACGTGCATAACTTCACGCCTTGCGATCATCCGAGCAGTCAGCCGTGCGACAACAACTGTCCTTGCGTTGCAACAGGGAACTTCTGTGAGAAGTTCTGCCAATGCAGCTCCGACTGTAAGTTGTACAGATTCAACAAGTAGTAGAGATCTTAGTTTGTGCAAACTGTAAATATCATAGCCAGTTGGTTGGCATTCTAAGACCCATGAGTCAAATTTAGTTTTCAGCTGTATTGTAAACAGACTTTTTCTATTACTCATGTGTATGACTGACATATTAATGTTTTTTTGATGATAAACCCAGTATATTACTTGCAAGGTAAGGTAATCATTGTGATGTATTTCTGCAGGTCAGAACAGGTTCCCTGGCTGCAGGTGTAAGGCCCAGTGCAACACCAAGCAGTGTCCTTGCTACTTGGCTGTACGAGAGTGTGACCCAGACTTATGTCAGACTTGCGGAGCAGATCATTTTGACATCCAGAAGATCACTTGCAAGAATGTCAGCGTACAACGTGGCCTCCGTGAGTATTTAATGGTTTATTTTTTATCTACACTACAACGAAAAGGCTGACATTACACAGATAATTTGTCCTGTAATCTTCTGAGAGTAGAATGGCGATATGAAATAGACCACTTGTGAGTTTCAGAGTGTTTTCTTCATTAGGATGAAATACAGTGCAGTGTTTTATAGGGTTTTGTAATGGAAAGATTTATACAGGCTTACCCTACTGACGAAAATAAGATGAAAATGCACAAATAGAAATAACACATTGACATTAACACAGAATTTTTGTTGCTGCTAAGTTCTTCCTGACTATACTACTGGAAGAAGGAGTTATTAGCTCCAAAAAGTCTGTGATTATGTGTTATTTGTTCATTTTCATCCATTTAAAAAAATCTTAAAACTCCTGGTGTAAAGTTACCTTTAGCAAAAAAGTTATCTGCATAGTCACTCAAGTCATAAAACTGAATTCGTCATAGGAAAACTGTTATGCCTCTACTACTAACCTCACCATCCAATGTTTTCAAATTTCCAGACAAACACCTTCTAATGGCTCCGTCAGATGTTGCCGGTTGGGGAATATTCTTGAAAGACTCGGCTCAGAAGAACGAGTTCATCAGTGAATACTGCGGTGAAATTATCACTCAGGACGAGGCAGACAGGAGAGGCAAGGTTTACGACAAGTACATGTGCAGCTTCCTCTTCAATCTCAACAACGGTAAGTCAACTTCCACTGAGCTTAAGTTGCCTTTTTCATCATGCTACAGAAAAACTACTCTCCTCAATAAATGCGTTGCATGGTATTTTATTTTATTTCTAGGTTAAAACAAGAATCAGCTGTAGTCGAGGACATCAGTTGTACGTGTTTTCTTTAGCAAACTGAATTCTATGAAGAAAACATCTGATCGGTGTTTGAGTTTCATTGTATATTTTTCTTCTACAAATAAATATGTCTTACTAATCATATCTTCTGTATTTCAGACTTTGTTGTTGACGCCACCAGGAAAGGCAACAAGATTAGATTCGCCAACCATTCCATTAGCCCTAATTGCTACGCTAAGGTAATGTACCTTAAAACCTACCCTTGATTTGCAAATTCAGTATGGTTTCATGATCATACCTGTAAAAGTCTGCATACAATTTTTTACTACAGAAAAATGTTAGGGAAGATGTTTTTCGTTCAATCATCCAATTTTGTATGAATGTTTCAGGTGATGATGGTGAACGGAGATCACCGAATCGGAATTTTTGCCAAAAGAGCGATCCAACCTGGAGAGGAGTTGTTCTTTGACTACAGGTGAGTTGTTTGCGATGGATGTTGGTTAACAACCAACTCGTGGTGTTTAGAAGATTAAGATTATGGAAATTATTGTCTGGGGCGGTAAGTTAGGGTTTTTGGAGATTCCTCAAGTGTCCCAGTGCTTTCTGCTTCATACCAATTGTTTCTGGTGAAGATGGACCAGCTGTTGGCATAATATACAGGGTGACCGAAAAGTCGCTTTACACTAAAGGTAAATTCAATTGGTGTTGATCAAAACCATCAAAATCTATTTTAATCAGAAATTTTTTGTAGACTACCAAGTGAACATCATTTTTAGTCTAAAACATTGGTGTGCGGTGTAGTTATACTACAGAGGAAAAAGTCGAGGGTTTTGATATAAAGAGGTTGAATTACGAGAAAAATGAGTACGTGTTGTTATGAAAGGTGATTCGCGATGAATGAATGCAACAATGGATATGGTCATATGATAGAATTATATGAACTGTTAAAAACAAAGGCATTTAAAAATTAATAGATAAATCAAAGACACTTGACGGAACAATTGGTATGAATACCTCCATCGTCTCGGCAAAGCTTGACTCAACTCTTAGTTCGTTAGCTCATTCGTTTCAGCATTTCTGAGGTGACTTGTGCAAAGGCCGCCCTTGCTCTCTACTGGGTATCGCCTCGTCCTAGGGCTGTGGTGGTGGTTGGTAAGGGAGAATGAGACTTCATTCTCTCTCTCCCCCCCTCCCCCCACTGTTGCCTACGTACGAATATATGCTGATCAGTCGTGTTTATAACAGTGTAATGTGATCTGCAATATTGTGTAAACAGACTTTTCGGCCACCCTGTACAGCATGCTTTCTATCTTGCAAGATCTTCTGACCTACTTTATAGTGTGAAAAAAACACCCTTTATGTATCCAAAAAACCTGTTTCTTTACAGTTTTATCTAAAGGATTATGATGTGCAACAAAATATATATTTTATATTTTACTTTCAGATATGGCCCAACAGAGCAGCTCAAATTTGTCGGAATCGAGAGGGAAATGGAGTTCCTGTAAGCATTTCACATCGTCGTTTGTATAATATCATTTATTTTTTACTTTAAGAATAAGTTTTCTGTTCACTACCTATTATTTCTAAATTGATGTATTCGTTGAAGTATTTCTTAGCCTTAGTGTTAAATTTTGAAACCCATAATAACCAAATTGTATCTCTTTTTGTCTTAAAATACCTCCATTGTCTGATAGTAGAATAGAACAGTTTTCTGTTTAATAACAGGTAGAAAAAGACAGACTACATTTAACTTTCACCTTTTAGTCAATGCATCTTTTACATTTTGCAGTTAGTTCTAAGTCAAGCTTTAAACATTTCCAAAAAAGTTGTTAAATAAGTAATTTATTTTTAGTATTCTTGTTTGGACCGCTATTTGTTATTACAATTTAATTAAGTTTTCTACGTGATTTATACTTTTTTTTTAAATGCCATTTTACCCTAATGATAAATGAACAAAGAATATTTTAGTTTACTTAAATCTTTTACTTATTGTTCTTGTTCTTGCAAGACAGCTCAATAGTTACTTGTTTCTAACTTTGTATTGATTTAAGACAAGAATTTATTTACATTTATGAAATATCGAAAAGTAACTTTTACTTTGTTAACACGTTGGGTGCTGATGACGGGAATTCCCGCCATTGCTTAACATTGAAATAAATGCAATTTTCATGTTCAAACATGTCAACGGCACTTTAAGTGTTAAGAATAATTAAAACTATAAATTACTAAATTTGTCAAGTTACTGTTATCTCATATTATTGGCTTGTGCACTTTGGAACAAATCAGTTTACGTTTATAAAAAAAAATTGTATAAAAATTCTAAATGTTTTATTTTACGCACTGATATGTTTAGTTGTGGCACATTTTCACTCATTTCAAGCAAGTTTTCAAATAAAGCAATAAAACCCAATTGTTTTATCAGTACCTTGACTTGTCCAATCTTGATAACCTTGGTTTGCAGCGCAGTTTGGAGTGGGTCATTCAACTATGTTATTTTCTTTTTAAACGTTCACTGGCCATGACAAGTAATCTCGTCACCGCTAGTGCTTTCCAGTGGCGCGCACTGAAATAAAAGATTGGCTATGTTCTTTTAGGATAAAAAATTTACTAAAGCTGGCCCATATAGACAGGCTGTGTCTGGCTATGTTCTTTTAGGATAAAAAATTTACTAAAGCTGGCCCATATAGACAGGCTGTGTCTACACCTAGCGCCATAGCCTCTTCAAACATAAGGCCGTTAGTGTGTGGCATATTTGCACCCAACGCCTTATTGTCATGGTAATAACAGTAATAAATATGGGGAAAAATATAACAAGAACAAGTAAACCTTTACTAAATAAACAACGCTCCATTATGAATTAATACAACAGCTGTTTCATTAGGCCGGGTCTGTTGTGTTTTGTCTTGCCGCAGCCTAAGAGGAGGTTACGGTACTGCTAATCAGAACTAACTGGAGCCTTGTCAGAATTATCCAGAAATTCAGGAAAATTGCATAACAAATAAAACACTATATGAATGTTAAATGACCATTTTGGTCCTGCAATCAAGACAACACGATGATCACGCAATCGCGGTAACTCATGATCAGTTTTCCAGTGTAGTTACATATTATGAAAGACGAAAAATCAACGGTTTTGTATATAGGGTTATCTATAATGTAAGAGGTTTATTTTATGAGTGAAAAATGAGTATGTGTTTGAGGCTATTCATGAGGAATGAATGCTTCAATGGGAATTTAAAAAAGGTCATGTGATGGTAATTACAGACAGACTGTTAGGAAACAAAGACATTTAAGTTAGGACAAATGAATGAATAACTTCTTTATTAAAGAACCTGAGAAAGAAACTCTATCTTTTACAGCAATACACCCTTGTTGGTAGTTCAATTTCAAAATGTTATTTTAAAACTTGCTGGAGCTTTAGTTTTTAGCCCAGAAATGGAATGTCTCACAGTAAGGTATCTATATTCAAAGCTTTTTACACATATTCCAACAGTTGTTCAACTGCATGTTCAGCTATTTTACAACCCCAAATTGCAATAAAACTCACCAATAACAGTTATTTTGTAACTCTGACAACAGGTTTGAGCAATAACAACATATTGAGCTTACACGTTTATTATTACAACATTCAATAACAATGATACACTTTAACATGTTTGGAAACTAATTCCGCATTTGTGTGAAGAAACCCTTCGTTATGGAAAAATATAACGATTTATTACAGTTTGTAGGCGTTAGTAAGGTAAATTTACAATACTTATGGTCCTTTAAAGGTTTAATTCAAAGAATGTTTACATGGTTTTAAAGAAAATTATAAAAAACTTGAATCCTAAAACATAAATATCTTGGTAAATTTTATTCGTTTTTACAAATATTCTAGATAAATATAAGTTACAGAAAGTTATGACCGATATCCTGGATTGATATAAGTGATTGTTATTGGGAAAACAGCATCTCTGTTTGGCTCAAAATCAATTGATTAAGACTTAAAACTATTCCATTTCGGTGGGATATTTTATTTCTTTGACTCGCTTGATTTAATGGCACTTTTCTCAATCTGACAAGAAATTTAACGAATAGCATATTGAATTATAGGTTGATTATCCATTTAAAGACCACAGCCATTTTAGTATTTACAGAATATCTTAGTGAACCCATTAATTGCACCCGGTTTTAACACTAATTTATTTTATCTGCAACAAAAATTAATTCACAACTTTAAAAAACATTAGTTAAGCTTACGTCCCAAAGAAAAATTACCTACAACATCCTCAAACACTACGGATGTAACTTCATTTCACCGTCACTACAATAAATATCATATAACAGACGATTGCAAACGTGCAATTGAAAAGTTTCAACTATCAAGAAAGGCCTGAAGTGTATATACATTGATAATATGTTATAACAACATCAATCCGTGAAATTGTACAAAAGCTAAAGATTCTTAACGTTATAAAATCAACCAGTATATTATAGTATTACACGTATTACTCAGAGTAAGAAGAAAGTCATAGAGGTAGTGTGATTGGAAATAAAGTCAAGGCCTATCTTAAACTACCAACATAATCATTTGGCATTAGCTGGTTTGTGACTATAAAAGACATTACTGACAAGAAGTACAGTATTATTTGGATTCAATGTGATATTTTAATGATCTTGGTTAATGTTTTACTTATGTTGGCATTTTGAGTAAAACTGCAATTTTCACAAAATTCATAAATCAAACTCCCTTTGTAAAAAAAAAAAATACTTAAAAGCTAAAAATATTTAAAATTGTTGAATAAGATTTTTATGCGGAAAAATAATTCTTAACTATACATAAAGGGTCCTCTACAATGATAACTAAGAGCCCCAAAACAGAACCTTCATTTCTTTTAAACGTGTTGCGATGGAAAAATATTGCAGAAACTACTCAGTATTTTGGCGATAAAGTTCAGATTGAGCATTTAAATTAAATAAAAGAACTACCCTACAACAGTTGGATCCCTTATCGTAAGTATGAAAAATGACAAAAGACGCTGATAGATATGTCATGAGTTATGTTTATTAGGAACAAGAGAATTTAAATAAGTTTGGCTGGTACAGAATGAATAGCTCGACATAAGTAAATTAAACTAGTAACTTAGTTCTAAGCACAGTATAAGAAAATATATAATTTTACATTAATACTAAACTAATAAAAAACTTAGTGATGCAAACATGAAAAAATATTGTTTTGACTACTACCTACATTAAAATACCATAAGAAATTTAATACACTAAAATTATAATAAAATGTTAAATAAAATAATCAGACTCTGTGAATAAATCTATACACAATAGTAAAACCGTGAGTTTTCTCAAGATAAAATGTATAACTCTTAATTCCTACTATAAAATGTAAAACTACTAACTACAAACATGTTGATAAACTTAATTTGTATTAAAATTACAACATAAAGCGCACACAATAGTCATAACAATAGCATTGTATAATAACTTTCAAAAAATTTTCATTGATCGATCGAGATATATAATAGAGGATCTCGATAAGTTTATCATTAGGGCAGTATGTATATTAACATCACCAATTTACTTTGTGCATTAAATTATTAAAATTAAAATATAATTCAAAATGCTATGTAGTGTGTTTAGGGTCAGTTAACGGATAATTAATTCTCGTTTACTCAAATTAGCCTTTTAAGACAAAATGTTTGGTTAAATTATTTATTAAAATTCACGCAATAGCAAAACTTAGAAATAAAAGCATGAATTACGTCCATTTAAAAGCTCAGTAACAAAGGATTTGGATTGTAAATGAAGCATAGTTGCTGATAATTGGAACTTTAAGCTAATTTAAAAATTAAATTAATAAAAATGCAAATTAAAGTACGAAAACATTGTAAGAAAATATATATTTCAACAAAATAATACTTGTAAACTTCCATATCTGTCTCTGTCAGCATAATGATAAGGGTAATCAAAGGCAACAAAATTAAAATCAGCATAAATAATTTCCAGACTTTTCAAACACACTGCACTTTGAAGGGGATGATTTCTTATGGTTTATCATCTTTGGCAAATTAAGTCCATGAGAATCTTCCCTAATATGAATATCACCTATAGTTATACTTTTTTTTGTGAGATTTTCGTCAGTCTTAAATAAGAACCTCAAACTAATTTAATCAAAACCCTAGATATATTAGGTCCAACAATACATATTTCTTAATCCTTTAGGCTCGGTTGGTAGTCTTTGGAAATAACAGTGAAGAAATTGTCAACATCAGCTGTCTCTACCACTTTTCGTACACATTGGCAGTCATCAAGTCTGTTTCTTCCCACCAGCTCTAAATTATTTTAGTTTAAAAATTGCGCACTTCACTAAGTATGACCACTAAGACATTTTGTTTGAAAAACACATTTTGGCCACTGTTTCCAAGACGCTATCTTTAGCCTGGAATCGTTTGCATGTTTTTTCAGCCTAGGCCCAAAAGGTGGCAGCATTATCAATTAGAAATCCATTGGATGATTGAACTGAGACCTCAGAAACCGAAGCAATGCAACTAGACTTGTTCCTTGCCATCTAAATAGCAGGGAAAACTAATGTTGAAAATCCTGCAAAGACAAGCACCCAACCCAACCGATTACCTAAAAATAGTCTTTCCGATCGCAAAGACGATCTTACTGGCCTTGTTACTAGAGATTCTTGTCAACAATAGGAATTGAGAAACGACGCATAGTGCCCTAAAGATGAACAAGTAATGATTGCTGATAACAGATTATTGCTGACGTTTCTGTGCTGATGTGAGGAATGGGGTGATGATATCCAACGGCAGCGGGAAGATGATTGTAGAGTTCTTCTCGGCCGATATGGTGTTGAGGGTTTGCAAGTAGCGTAACTGTAACAGATGATTTCAGGATGAAATTAATTAATTATATCAATTGTTAGTCATCAATTAGTTGTCAGGATTAAAAGTGTTTTTTTTTCAGTTAATTTTGCAAAAACAAAATAACCTACTATAGTTGAAGGTGAAATTTAAGTCTGCGACAACTACTCTTCAAACTAATTTCCTTAAGGAGGTAAATCCTGTAAGACCAGCACTAAAGATGGGCCACCCCAGCAAGTAAATCCTAATTTGTTTGTTTTTAATTCAAAGAACAAAATACTGAATTATTTTTGATTTAAAAAAAATGTTTGTTGCCATTCTTGTTTTTCATATCGGACCCAGGCTGCTGGTATTATTTTAGGTAAAATTTTAAAGTCTTTAAAGTGATATTGAAAAAGTGCAACTAAACCACACACACTATCTGAATTCTAATAGTAACAAAAGAATTCTACGGCTAAACAATGCAAAAGATAATATAAAGAATCTGAAGTTAAAAGATTTGAGGAATGTCAATCAGTGTATGTATT